GGCTCAGTGGTCAGAACTGTGATGGGGGGAACCTAGGGCATCTTCTGGAGGAAGGGGCATCTCTACACTGAACCCTGAAGGAAGAGGGATCATGGGTCAGTCAGACATAAGGGTACGTCTTGTACACAGCCCGGAGGTGCCAGAGGGCCAGCACCCTTAGGGAATGACAAATTCTGCTCATGGTATGAGGAGCAGGGAAGTGAGACCGGCTGGAGAGGTGGGTGGAGCCCGCCTGCGGGACTCAGGAGAATGGTGAGGAATCTGGACTTTGTCCTGAGAGCAATAGGGAGCTATGGGAGGCTTAAATAGGGAATGGGCATGGACAGATTTAAACAGATCCCTCTAGCAGCCATGTAGAGGATGACAGAGAACGGAGGCTGGGAGCCCAGGGAGAGGGGAGGAAAAGGCAGGTAGACAGGCCAGAGGGAGGCAGAGAGAGGCACCTAGGATGAGGCCGAGGCCTGTGGCCTGAGGACTAGAAGACAACAGGGCCCTCCCTCAATGGAGATAGGGAGCGGGAGGTTGGGGGAGGAAAGGGGAGACTAGATGGCCAGTTTGGGACATGGTGGGTATGAGGGACCTAGGTTGCCTACAGGAAGAAATGAGGAGGAAGCTGCTCAAGACAGGCTGGCAGTCCAGGTGAGAAGCCAGGACTGGCAGCAGCCACGTCAGAGTCACCAGCATACGGGAAAGCAACCAGGACAAGGCTAAGCAGGACAGAGGGGACCAGGACTGGGTTAAAGAGACAGTGGGTAGGGTGAGACTTGGTAAGAGGCCGGAGCAGGGAACTAGATGGGAAAGAATGGTGGCCTGTGCTAAGGATTGATAGTGGAGATGGGGGTGTCTTTGAAATGTGCTTAGGATGTGGTAACCAATCACGTCAGCAGGGAAGGAAGCAGAATGGGGGGAGCAGGGGGGGGCCCGGGGGCAGGGGGCAGAGAGATGGAGGCAGGACTGTGGTTATGCAAGATCCAGGCAAGGGCTTTGGGCCTGCCAAGCTTTCACTGGCCAGGGTCCAGCTGGTAGGCATCATTTCGGATACCACAGAGGGGATGGGGATGCGAGGTTAGCCCTGTGATCAGCTGAAAGGGAGGCCATGGATGCCTCTAGCTTAGAGGGACAGAGAAACAGGCTGCTACCAGAATGCAGAGGTACATGACACCAGCCGGACCCCAGGGCCTGACCAGCAGCAGCTGGAACCACAGAGGCAGTGCTGCCTGGGGGAGAGGCTGGGAAAAATGTCTGGCTTCTTTCCTCTTCCCACTTTACCTCACCCAACTGACACGTAGGTGGAGCAGGGGAAGGGTAAGAAATAGGGCAAACAGGCCCTGGTCAGGCCCACAGTCCAAGAACAGCCGATCCCCATGTGCCCACAAGACCAGCCAGTCATCCTTGGAGCACCCAAACTTTGGCCCAGCCACTTGCCCTAAGACGTACCCGCAACGGAGAAGTTGTTTAAAGGGGGCAGCGTCTGGTCAGGGGCCTCAGGCCGCTCCTTATAGCCAATGAAGGAACCATCACTCTTCATCAGGAAGTACCGGGGCCTCCACGTCTTGATGTATTCACCTGAACGAAGGCAGAGGAGAGGGAGAGAGGTCAGGGCAGACAACCCGGTGTAACCGTGCCTCACAAGGAGCACCGAGGTGGGAGGAGGGTGGATGAGGGTAGGCAGGAGAGTGCCTCTCCAAGAGAAACCCTTGAGGTCGCCCCTGCCGATGAGGGCTGGTGCCGGGCTGGGCCCAGTGATTCAGAGGTCATGCCTGGCAGGAAGGTGCCTGCTGCAGTGGCCCAGGGCACCAGCTGCTCAGCGTGTGGCCAACAGCAAGCCATCCTTGCCAGCACGTGGCCCAGTCCCAGGAGAGGCCCAAGCTTCCAAACACACATGCCCTGTGGCCCTGTAAGGCCAAATCCCATGGGCTGGTATTCACCAGTACAGCCGTGCAGTTGGATCAAATGTCAAAACACTGTGCCAGTCCGGGTATAACTGTTGCTGTGCCCTCCAAGTGTCCCTTGACCCATTCTATTTGTTCTGTGAATATCCAAGCACCCTGTGTAAATACGCACGCGCGCGCGCGCACACACACACACACACACACGCACTTACAAGAACCCACTCCTCACAAGTCTGCTGAAGAAAATGAGATGGGCTGTGAAATAGGTGAAGGAAATTAAGAGGCACAAACTTCCAGTTATAAAATAAATAAATCATGGGGATATAAAGTACAGCATAGGCGATACAGTCAATAAATATTGTAATTACTTTGTAAGGTGAGAAATGATAATGACTTATCATGGGGATCATTTCATAATGTATATAGTAGGTGTACTGGTTAATAATGGAGGATTTTGTAATCAAAGAAAACACTATAATTTCAAGAGAAACATCAAAAGTGCTTAATTCAAAGTAATTTCCATCGCTAACTACACATTTCTCTCATCTTTCAGGTAATTTGTGGATACTGTCCCAATAGAACTTTTCTTGTTCTGAGGCAAACCATTCAGAGACCCAATTTTCCACTTTGTATGTTTTGAAGTGCTGCTCAGAAAGTGCGTGTGCCATCGATCGGAACAGTGGTCATCTGAAGGAGCAAGGTCTGGTGAATACGGCAGGTAAGTTAATACTTCCCAGGCAAGATCTCAACGGGTCTTTAACTGGCTTTGAAGTGTGTGATGGTGCGTCATCATGAAGCAAAATTACTTTGCCATGTCTTCTGGCACATTCTGGTCATTTCATGATGAAAGAGTGGTTCAAATTGATTATTCGTTGTCAGTGGTGATCAGTATTAATGGTTTCACCTGGTTTTAGAAGCTCATAATACACCACACCTTCCT